GAGGCCCCCAAGAGGCCCCCGAGTGGCCCCACGAGGCCCCAAGAGGCCCCCAAGAGGCCCCCAAAAGGCCCCCAAGAGGCCCCCAAGAGGCCCCAAGAGGCTCCAAGAGGCCCCCAAGAGGCCCCCACGAGGAGCCCGAACGACTCACACCAGGACGAGGGGCCCGAACGACTCACACCACGAAGAGCCCGAACGACTCACACCACAAGGAGGGGCCCGAACGACTCACACCAGGGCGAGGCGCCCGAACGACTCACACCACGAGGAGCCCGAACGACTCACACACGAACGCGGGCCCCGAACGACTCACACCACGAGGAGCCCGAACGAGTCACACCAGGAGGAGGGGCCCGAACGACTCACACCAGGATGAGGGGCCCGAACAACTCACACCACGAGAAGCCCGAACGACTCACACCAGGACGAAGAGCCCGAACGACTCACACCACGAAGAGCCCGAACGACTCACACCAGGAAGAAGGGCCCGAACGACTCACACCAGGACGAGAAACCCCAAACGACTCAAATCACGAGGAGCGCTTTCTCTCCCTCCTCCTCCGCCTCGTCCTTCTCCCGCTCCCCCCACAAGGAGGATGTACAAGGAGGCGGGAGGAAGGAGGAACAGGGGAGATATGCGGGCCCAAGCGGACGCACGCCTGAAAAACACGACTGTCGGCATGCTTCGCAAGAGTTGCTGCTGTGAGATGGGCTGGTGGGGATACGCGAAGCGTAAAGAATTTGCATGTACCCACAGGGAGGGCGGCTGTGTATAAAGTCGCTGACTCTTAATGATGATACATACACCGCTACCCTCCCCCGAGGCCCAGGAGCAATCCATTGGAGGGTTTGTGAATACATCTTGTGTCGGAGACAGGACAAGCGCCGCTGCAGGCCGAAGGCCCCGTGCAGGGAACGGCGGATGCGCAGGGGCGCCTCGGTTTGTCCTGTGAGGGCACACGGATCCCAGGTGCCTGCCTTAGAAGAAGACAAACGGCATGACCATGAACTTCTGGCGCTCCGCGCGGAGCTCTGGGATCTGCGCTGGACCCCCTCTCTGGAGCGCGGAGCGCGCCAGCGGCGTCGCCGGAGGCGTCGCCAGGGGGGTCCCAACACGGATGCAAGAAATCCGCGCGGAGCGCCGAACAAGTTTATGGTTTATGGAGTTGTTGCTCCTTCGGTCCAAAGGGGTTTCCTGGATCCCTCTTCCACGACATCCTCATACTGTGAGTGAGCAAGCCATCGGCGCGACGGAACTCTCACTCTCTCTCTCTCTCTCTCTCTTGCTCCACCGAGCGGGCACCCAAACGTCGCCAGTGGGGAAGAAGGACGGCACGAGCCTAAACCGTCGGAGGCTCGCGTGGACGTGCTGGGGGTAAGCGCTGACCCCCCCCCAGCAGCCTCATGATGTGGCCCTCCGAGAATTTAGGCTCATGCTGCTCTCTCCCGTCGGGACCACGAAGTGTAACAGAGCTGCTCTTTTCAAGATGAAGGCGACGCCCTTTCCCCCTATCCCCTCCCCCGTTCCTCCCACTCCTCCTTCTCGTAACCTTCATCCTTGCCCTCCTCCTCCTCCTCCTCCTCCTCCTCCTCCTCCTCCTCCTCCTCCTCCTCCTCTTGGTCCTTCTCCTTCTTCCCAGCCTTCTTCCCCTCCCCCTCCCCGCTCCCACAACCCCCTTCCACCATCGCCGGCTCCTTCACCCTCGCTTCCTAGTCCTCGTCCTCAACATTGCCCTCGCGATTCACGTCCTCCTCCTCCTCCTCCTCCTTCTCCTCCTCCTCTTCGTCCTCCTGGCTCCTCCTCCTCGTCCCACTACTCCTCATCCTCATCATGATCACAACCATCAGCATCATCACCACCACACCACCATCATCATCATCAGCATCATCATCGTCACCAGCATCATCATCACCATTACCATAATCATAAGGATCATCATCAGCAGCACCATCGTGACCATCATCATCACCGTGATCATCATCATCGTCACCGACATCATCACCATCGACATCAGCACCATCATCATCACCAACATCATCATCACCATTATCATAATCATCATCATCATCATCATCATCAGCATCATCAACATCGTCACCATCATCATCATCAGCATCCACATCGTCATCATCATCAGCAGCACCAGCATCATCATGCGCATCAGCATCAGCATCAGCATCATCATCAACAACATCACCATCTCCACCACCATCATCCTGCTCCTCCTCCTCATCAGAACCAGCATAATCAGCATCAGCATCATGGTCATCATCAGCAGCAGCACTCGCATACGTACCAGTCTCATCCTCAGCAGCATCAGCGTCATCAGCATCATCAGCATCATCATCAGCAGCATCATCATTATCATCATCATCAGCAGCATCATCATCGTCAGCATCGACATCAGTATCATCATCATCATCATCATCATCATCATCATCATCATCATTATCATCATCATCATCATCATCATCATCATCATCATCATCATCATCATCATCATCATCATCATCATAATCTTCATCATCATCATCATCATCATCATCATCATCATCATCATCATCATTCTTATCATCATCATCACCCACCTCATGATCGCCATTATCATAACCATGCCCATCATCATCAGCAGCATCATCATCGGCATCATCATCACCGTCCCCCTCCTCATCATCACCAGCATCATCATCAGCAGCAGCATCAGCCGATGGTCCTCCCCACCCCCTCCACATTCCCACCCCATCCTCGCTCCCCCCTCATGCTTTCCCCCTCCCCCGCTTCCAGGAGGAGGAGGTCCGCCAGCGGGCGAGCACGCCCCTGTGACCCAGACCCCCAGCCTCGTGCGCTCACCCGTGCGGCCGCTCGGACGAAGCAGGCCTGCTTACCAAGCCTTTTGCCCAGAGCTGCAATATCAGCAGGCTAAGCTGCAAAGAACGGGCTCCCGAAAGGGCGCGTCGTCCCTCCTGCGAGCTGCACGGGGAGCCTGCGCAGTGAGCGCTTCAAGGAGACAGCCTCCACTACGGCTGGGCTGCTGAGGTAAGGAGCCACAGAGACCAGGAGCAAAACCCCTTTGTGGCCCCAGAAGCGCCTGCTGCGTGCACGAAGCGCGCGGGAGAGACGGCCAGGGAAGGACCCCGGGGAACAGCGAGCCCCTTCCGAACCCGAGCTGCTCCGTATCTCAGCGTCCTGACTGTATGGCGCGACGCTGGGTGAACGTCAAGTGTCGGCGCAACGCGAGGCGGGGATGTGTATATATATATATATATATATATATATATATATACATGCGTACATACACATATCGGAGGTGAGGCGGTGAGATCGAAGTGGAACGGAGAGCCCCCCCACCGGGAAATCGGTGTCGGTTTCGTGTTCGTGCGCGCCGTGCGTGCGGGCTAGGCGAAGCTGCGTGGGCGGGCGAAATAAAAGTCTCCTGTGGCTGACGCGCGGCCGGACCAAACGACTCCCATCCGGCAACCGGTGCCGCGCGGTGTCCCGCCGGTGTCCCTCTGTGGCTGAGGCGCGGCCGAACTAAATGACTCCTTTCAGGGGGCCAGTGCCGCGCGGTGTCCCGCCGGTGTCCCGCTGGTGACCCGTCGGTGTCCCGATGATGATGATGATGATGATGATGATGATGATGATGAGAATGAGGATGATGATGAAAATGAGGATGCTGATGATGATGATGCTGATGATGATGATGATGATGATGATGGTGTCGATAATGTTGGTGATGATGATGGTGATGGTGGTGATGATAATGGTGTCCCGATGATGATGCTAATGATGATGATGCTGACGATGTTGATAATGATGATGATGGTGGTGATGATAATAATAGTATCCCGATAGTGGTGATGTTGATGATGATGATGATGATGTTGCTGGTGGTGATGATGATGGTGTCCCGATGACGATGATGATGTTGATGATCCTGATGATGTTGATGATGAGACAAAGGTGGGATGATGATGAAGATGATGATGATGGTGTCCCGATGATGATGATCAGGTTGATGATGATGCTGTTGATGGTAATGGTGATGATGCTGATGGTGTCCTGATGATGATGATGTTGATTGTGATGATGACGACGAAGGTGTCCCGATGATGATGATGATGTTGCTGATGTTGATGCTGATAAAGTGTTGATGATGTTGATGATGGTGTCCCGATGATGATGATGATGCTAATGATGATGATGCTGACGATGTTGATAATGATGATGATGGTGGTGATGATAATAATAGTGCCCCGGTAGTGGTGATGTTGATGGTGATGCTGATGTTGCTGGTGATGATGATGATGGTGTCCCGATGATGATGATGTTCATGATCCTGATGATGTTGGTGATGAGACAATGGTGGGACGATGATGAAGATGATGATGATGGTGTCCCGATGATGATGATCAGGTTGATGATGATGCTGTTGATGGTAATGGTGATGATGCTGATGGTGTCCCGATGATGGTGATGATGTTGATTGTGATGATGACGATGATGGTGTCCCGATGATGATGATGTTGATGATGTTGATGCTGATAGTGTTGATGATGTTGACGATGGTGGCCCGATGATGGTGATGATTATGCTGATGATGATGCTGATGGTGAAGGTGTCCCGATGATGATAATTGTGATGATGATGCTGGCGGCGATGATGGTGTCCCATAGGAGATGATGTTGATGGTGCTGATGTTGCTGATGATGATGATGGTGTCCCAATGGTGTTGGTGTTGCTGATGTTGTTCATGATGATGATGACCACGAGGGTGATAGTGGTGCCCCGATGACGATGATGCTGTCCAGATGGAGATTTTGTTTGACCTCGA